CCCCTGATGGGCCCTGCTCTGTGCATGACAGGGGGGAGCTCCCCAACCCCCTGATCGACCCTGCTCTGTGTGTGGCAGGGTACGGAGCCCCAACCCCCCTGATGGGCCCTGCTCTGTGTGTGACAGGGGGGAGCTCCCCAACCCCCTGATCGACCCTGCTCTGTGTGTGGCAGGGTACGGAGCCCCAACCCCCCTGATGGGCCCTGCTCTGTGAGTGACAGGGGGCAGCGCCCCAACCCCCTGATTGGCCCTGCTCTGTGCGTGACAGGGGGTGGTGCCGCAACCTCCCCATCGACCCTGCCTTGAGTGTGATAGGGGGCGGTGCCCCAACCCCCCAATCGGCCCTACCCTGAGCGTGACTGAGGGTGGCATCGCAACCTCCCAATCCGCCCTGCTCTGTGCATGACAGGGGGCGGCGCCCCAACTCCCCAATCAGCCCTGTTCTGAGCCCGACCAGGGGCTGCACCTAGGGATTGGGCCTGCCCTCTGCCACCCAGGAGCAGGCCTAAGGCAGCAAGTCGTTATCTCCCGAGGGGTCCCAGACTGCGAGAGGGCACAGGCTGGGCTGAGGGACCCCCCCCTTCCCTTCCAAGTGCACAAATTTTTGTGCACCGGGCCTCTAGTATAATATAACAAATGAACAGGAAAAGCTCTACCCTACTGTACAATGCCAACTAATAAATGTAGAAGAAATAATGGAGTTAGGAAAATCATCATTTGACACCTTTCAGAATATAATGCCTGATTCAGGTAAGATTCATCAATGGATACTAAAACAAAAGTTTGATGGAAATAGGATATTGCATAGTCTCAAAGTATCTTCCCATAAAACACTAATTAGTACAACACACTTATTAATTGTAAGGTTAAGAAACCTGGGAAATACCATCTTAATCAAGTGATGAAAGTTAACATTACCAGCAACAGGACAAATCAACTAGTGTTCTTCCTAATATGCACTAAAAAGAGCACAGCATCACTTTGGTTGGTACTACTGCCCAAAAATGCATGAATCAGGAGAAAATATGAGACGAATCCCTATTGAGCAGCATTCTACAAAGTAACTACCCTGTACTCTTCAAAAATGTCAAGGCTTCGAAAGACAAGGAAAAATTGAGGAACTGTTCCAGATTAGAGAACTAACTAGAGAGATAACAATTAAAAGCAACGCAGGATCCTGAACTTATAAACATTACTGGGAGAATCAACAACATTTTAATGAATTCTATGGATTAAATTGTAATATTCAATCAATGTTAATTTCCTGATTTTGAAAGTTTTACTGTGGTTATTATATAGGAGAGTATTCTTGTACTTAGGAAACAAACACTGAAGTATTAAGTGCTCAAACCTATAATGAAGTCCTATTATTTTTAAAACTACATCCAAAAATGTGACAAGGTCTGGCATTACCTGGCCATCATTCAACACTCTCCAAGCCTCATCTCAGAATATTCACTATGCATTCTAGTCACTAAAGTCTGTGCTCTCTCTTGGCCCTAAGCTTTCACACGTCTTTTTTACTTTTTTTTTTTTTTCCTCTGTACCTGGAAACTTTTCCCAGCACAATTTCCCACCTTTTTTGTCTAGGCTGACATGTCATCAAAGAAGCCTTTCCTCATTCATCCATCCAACAAATGTATGCCAAGAGCTTACTATGCAACAAACACAGTTTTAGGAAATTGGAATGTCCTAAAACCTTTGGGGGTGAGGGTGGGAGACAAACATAAGTTAAAATATAGGAGAGTAGATAGTGATAAGTACTATAGAGAAAAACAAAGACGTAAGAAGGATAAGGTGTGTGTATATCTGCATCCTCCACATTATTTGATTAACACACTAACATCATTAGTGCTAACATTATCTCAGCATCTTCACCTCCAAACCAACAATTAGAATGTAAGCAAAATGGAACTGCAATGTTTTCTTTCCTGATCTATAAAACACTAGTGCTTGAAAAAAACTTCAGAAATCATGAGCCTAGTTCCATCAACTTTATTTTTCAAATGAAAAAGTTACTTCCATAATGCAACAAAACCAAATTTTAAACCACAAAAGGATGACAGTCAAATCCATTTAGAAATTTACAAAATCTATATAAGTGGCTCAAGTTAATGAAAACAGAACTAAAATTACAAATTATTAAAAATATCAATGAGAATACTGTATGTCAAAACCAGTTGAATGCAGCCAAAAGCAGACTCAGAAAAAAAAACATACAGTCCTAAAATAAAACTAGACTTAGTGTTTAAAAAGAGATCGCTCAGTGGTGAGCATCGACCTGTGAACCTGGAGGTCGCGGTTTGATACCCGGTCAGGGCACATGCCTAGGTTGTGGGGGTTTGCAGGGGGCAGCCAATCAATGATTTTGTCTCATCAATGATGTTTCTATCTCTCTCTCCCTCTCTGAAATCAATAAAAATATGTTTTTTAAAAAAGAGGTGGCTACAAACCTTTAACA